AATTGTTATTGGGTTGGTGGCCATTGCTATTAGGTTGGAGGCCATTGTTATTAGGTTTGAGGCCATTGCTATTAGGCTGGGGGCCACTGTTATTAGGTTGGAGGCCATTGCTATTTGGTTGGAGGCCATCGCTACCAGGTTGGAGGCCATTGCTATTGGGCTGGAGGCCATTGTTATTAGGTTGGAGGCCATTGCTACAACCTGGTAGGTTGGAGGCCCTTGCTATTAGGTTGGAGGCCATTGTTATTAGGTTGGAGGCAATTCTTATTGGGCTGGACGCCATTGCTATCAGGTTGGAGGCCATTGGTATTAGGTTGGAGGCAATTGTTATTGGGTTGGTGGCCATTGCTATTAGGTTGGAGGCCATTGTTATTAGGTTGGAGGCCATTGCTATCAGGTTGGAGGCCATTGAGTAGGCCATTGCTATTAGGGTGGAGGCCCTTGCTATTAGGTTGGAGGCCATTGTTATTAGGTTGGAGGCATTTGCTATCAGGTTGGAGGGCACTTTTATCAGGTTGGAGGCATTTCTTATTAGGCTGTCAGGTTGGAGGCCATTGCTATTAGGCTGGAGGTCATTGTTATCAGGCTGGGGGGCCATTCCTATCAGGTTGTAGGCCATTGCTATTAGGTTGGAGGCCATTGCTATTAGGTTCGAGGCCATTGCTATGAGGTTGGAGGCCATTGCTATCAGGTTGGAGGCCATGCTCATTAGGCTGGAGGCCATTGCTATTGGGGTTGGAGGCCATTGCTATCAGGTTGGAGGCCATTGCTATTAGGCTGGAGGCCATTGTTATTAGGTTGGTGGCCATTCCTATCAGGTTGTAGGCCATTGCTAGTAGGTTGGAGGCCATTGCTATTAGGTTGGAGGCCATTGCTATTAGGTTGGAGGCAATTGCTATCATTGCTATCAGGTTGGAGGCCATTGCTACAAGGCTGGAGGCCATTGCTATCAGGTTGGAAGCCATTGCTATTAGGCTGGAGGGCATTGTTATTAGGTTGGTGGCTATTCCTATCAAGTTGTAGGCCATTGCTAAGAGGTTGGAGGCCATTGCTATTAGGTTGGAGGCCATTGCTATTAGGTTGGAGGCCATTGCCATTAGGTTGGAGGCGGAGGCTATTGCTATCAGGTTGGTGGCCATTGCTATTGGGTTGGAGGCCATTGCTATCAGTTTGATCGGGTTGGTTGGCCATTGCTATCAGGTTGGAGGCCATTGCTATCAGGTTGGAGGCCATTGCTATCAGGTTGGAGGCGATTGCTATTAGGTTGGAGGCCATCAGGTTGGAGGCCATTGGTATTAGGTTGGAGGCATTTCTTGTTTTGGTTGGGGGCCATTATTAGGTTGGAGGCCATTGCTATTAGCTTGGAGGTCATTGCTTTTAGGCTGGCGGCCATTGCTATCAGGTTGGAGGCCATTGCTAAGCCATTGTTATTAGGTTGGTGGCCATTCCTATCAGGTTGTAGGCCATTGCTATTAGGTTGGAGGCCATTGCTATTAGGTTGGAGGCCATTGCTATTTTAGGTTGGAGGCCAATGCTATTAGGTTAGGGGGCCATTGCTATTAGGTCGGAGGCGGAGGCCACTGCCATCAGGTTGGTGGCCATTGCTATTAGGTTGGAGGCCATTGCTATCAGTTTTGAGGCCATTGCTATCAGGTTGGTGGTCATTGCTATCAGGTTGGAGGCCATCGCTTCTAGGTTGGAAGCCATTGCTATCAGGTTGGAGGCCATTGCTATTAGGTTGGAGGCCGTTGCTATCAGGTTGGAGGCCATTGCTATTAGGCTGGAGGCCATTGTTATTAGGTTGGAGGGAATTGCTATTAGGTTGGATGCTATTTGTATCAGGTTGGAGGCAATTTGCTATCAGGTTGGAGGCCATTGGTATTAGGTTGGAAGCATTTCTTGTTTTGGTTGGGGGCCATTATTAGGTTGGAGGCCATTGCTATTAGGCTGGAGGCCATTGTTATTAGGTTGGTGGCCATTCCTATCACATTGTAGGCCATTGCTATTAGGTTGGAGGCCATTGCTATTAGGTTGGAGGCCATTGCTATTAGGTTGGAGGCAATTGCGATCATTGCTATCAGGTTGGAGGCCATTGCTACAAGGCTGGAGGCCACTGCTATCGGGTTGGAGGCCATTGCTATTAGGTTGGAGGCCATTGCTACGAGGTTGGAGGCCATTGCTATCAGGTTGGAGGCGATGCTTATTAGGCTGGAGGCCATTGCTATTGGGGTTGGAGGCCGTTGCTATTAGGTTGGAGGCCATTGCTATTTGGTTGGAGGCAATTGCTATCAGGTTGGAGTTGCTTTTTTATAAATAGGTTGGAGACCATTGCTGTTAGGTTGGAGGCCATCGCTATGAGGTTGGAGGCCATCGCTATTAGGTTGGAGGCTATTGCTATGAGCCACCCAATGAAGATTGTTTTTGTATGTGTTTTTCTAAAATTTCAATTAATGAGCAGTTGCTTTGCAATCTCTCAGGCCGACCATTACTCCCACAAAAAAACAGCCAGAAGCTTGGATTGTCGGCACCCAGTGGTTGACATCAATAGAGCATTGTTTGAGAAAAACATATGAACAAAAGAGAGAAACAACGTCCTTTTGTATAGACTAACCTACTGGACATCCCACAACATTTATTCCAGGACGCCTTCGTTTGAGTTGGTAGACTCTTCCTGAGGATGGCATCCATGGGCCTTAGCAGACCCTTGGGTTCACCGAATGGTTTGATGTGATGGACTTGGAAAATCACGCTGAGAAAGTGCCAGTCGGAGTGGGAGAGACTTGAATACGCAAAGGAGTCTTGCAACCAGGTAGCATGAGTAAACGACCCATGTCATAGTATGAGTTGACAAATGAGGATGCATGAGCTGAAAGAAGAATAGTATGAACTGACGAAGTCGTTCAAAAGTGTCCTCAGGCGTCGCGGTTGGAATGGCATTACCATCTCCAGGGACTGAGTGTTTCAGTTTCATCACGTTTCACGCATGCGATGCACAATGTCATAGCATCCATTAAGTCATCAGGATACCATCCACATCCCTGGCATTGAGCTGGGTTTCAAAAGACCTGTGCTTTTTGAACGACATGCTGTGGGTGGTGAATATGGAGCTGGCTGGAAGAAGGCGTTGCTGGCTTCGGCCATCAGGAGAAATTGCATCAATGCAAAAAAGTAAAGATGCGCGAAGGTTGGCAAGGGCAGGGTGCTCACAACCTTCTTCCCTGAGAGCATGGACGAGGCGGGTTGCATGGCTGAGCATGGCAAAACCATTGCATGAAAACCCTCAGATGCGCTGCATGATGACGTGTTCGACAGGGCAAGCCCATCATTGTGGATGGACGTGAGGTGAAGGACGATCGCAGCGTTGGCCCCCCAGACACTCAAGTGCCAGAGCCGTGAACTGCTGAAAGCTGTCAGTGGCTGGCATCAGTCATGCTAGAATATCGAGAGTCGAATATGGTAGAAGACTATACTCAGAATAGGATCCATACAGACGGAAAAATACTGTTTGGATCAGGATCGCTTTGAAAAGCCCTCATTGAAAGAGGTCTTATTGAAGGGGGCCGGAAGAGATTCTATTTCTTTATTTCTCCATTGCTCGCTTCGCAGTGTGTTGTGGTCTATGACAACCCTTTGGACAATGTTGAGGAGATATGGCCAGAGTTGAGAAGTTGACGCTAGTTGGTCATGCGTGCGGCGCTGCCGGGAATGTTTCAACGAAGTGCGAGGACCTGGCTCACATTTTTTTCCAGCGATGCTTAGAAGCAAAGGCGGCATGAGAGCAACTTCTTTCAGTGAGAGATTTGCGCGTCATTTCGGCAGGTGGTGCCCTATGTGGTAACCAAAAAGACAGTGTCCAACTCAAATGAGCGGTGTTTGTCGAACGACAGTCCTCACCCTGCGCGAAGTGACCTTTGAGGTCTTCAAGTGGCAAGAGGGGTTTTGGCAGATCATGAAGGAAGTCTTCGATGCCAAGTACAAGGTATTCTGGAGCATTCTTGGTATTTTGACACGAGTTGCTTGCAAATCGTCGTCAAGTGCAAGGCAGATTTCTTACAAGCTGGTTTGCTTGTGCCCTCCTCAGTTCAGCCTTGCGGTCGCTCCTATACGCTATACACAAAAGACGGAGCTTTCACATCAGGAGAAGACACATGGCGAATTGTCCCTGTCTCAATGCCTCCGGTTTCTTGGTTACTTACCCCAGCTTGACTTTTCATTTGAGTCAAGGCAGCACTTGATCAGTGATGCCACTGTCTCAGATTGAGTTGGGAATTGTTCCGATCTCGCTTGGCAGGGCTGATGAGCAACTTGAATACCTTGTTCAGCTTTGTGTTTTGTCTTTCTGCTTGAAGAGTGGGGGGAGATATAAGAAGAATAGACAAGACATATTCATAGTATTTGCTATCCAAATTTTCATCCGAATAGCAGATGGCTTTAGGCTGCGACGATGCAAATCATTCGGTGGACTGACGGAGGTTTTGGCATGGCCTGCCGGTACCTGAGAGCATGATTGATATAGAGTCTACATAGAGCATAGCATCAACTTATTTTTTCGGTTCTTTTTTTCAATATTTTTTTCTTTTGACCTTTGGAGTCCATTTGGAGTCCTTTGGACCATGTTGGACCTCTTTTTTAAGGCCCGTAGACGTTTTTTCCTTCTTTTGTCCTTTCTCCTTTGTCCCTTCCGTAATCTTAGTATTGTGCCTTTCCCTCTAACATGTGTATCAACCAGAGAGCACCCGCACAAGACGAGAGCATGAGACAAACTATTCAAAGCAACATGCTGTTGTGATCCTCTCTGGTCTTCTACCCTTCTGGTCCCCTGTTGTTTGTTCCTTTGGTGCTTTGGTCTCGGGCAAGCGCAAACTTGAAGAGGTAGTTCTGAGATAGGCTCTTTGTATGCCATAGAGTCATAGAGTTTCTTTTGTGCACCCCCTACCAAATTACCCACTCCAGCCTCTCTTAAGCCGGAATCTCGCAGCCAAGCTGAACAACAGGCAGCTCCAGCTCAAAACCCAAACCTGGGATCGCCGAAGGAGGCAAAGCACAAAAGGCACAGACAAGAATAGTTTTTTGGATTTTGATGTTCTTTCCATGGTCTGTACTAGTGGCTTTTGATGACTTTTCGTGTCCTTGGGGCTTGCCTTCTTCAACAACAGTTCAGCAACGACATCGGACGGGTTTCACTTCGAAGTGCAGATTTCGTGCCAAGCTCCGTGGCATCCAAGGGCTCAGAGCCCGTGCCAGGCGCAGTGAATTGCGAACTTTCGTGGCAGGTGCAAAGCTTTTTTTGTGGAAGCGGTGCGGCGGTACGCACATAGGACCTTAAAGTGTGGATTTGCTTTGTGGACCATCATCTCCTTACTTTTGTTTGGATAATTTTGGTTTGACGCCCTAACCCAAGCATGTTTCCTTTTGTGGAGAGCTGCGAAGCACAGAAATAGGTTTGCCCAGCCACTGAGGCCACAACTACGATGGCGATATGCTAACCGATGAGGTTGCGCAGGTTCATCGAAGTCCAGGCTTTATCACTTCGAATCTGATTGGCAAGCGGGAGGAGAGGAGGTCTCATGCTGAACACAGAAGAATGAATGCATCAATCAATTTAGGGTTTTCAAGACTTCAAGCAGGGGGAGGAATTACTTTTCTTTGAGTGAGCCTTACGTTGAGAGGTGATTTGGAAGAAGACAGGGCACCTGTATTGATAAACTATCCTGACAAACCCTGCCTGACACGGCATCAATTCCGGTTTGTGTTCTGTGTTCTGGCATGCTTTCTGGCATGTGCTCTGTCTGACATGCGTCATGTATTCTGAGACGTGTTCTGGCATCAAATCTGCCATTTGTTCTGGCATTTGCTCTGACACGTTTCAGAATCTGACATGAGTTCTGCCACTATTCTGACAGTTCTTCTGATATGTGATATGTGTTCTTGCATGTCTTCTGCCATGTTTTCTGGCTTATGTTTCGGCGTTTGCTTTGATTTATGTGTTCTGGCAAAGTCGAGGGCGCGCCACATCGCAGCAACTGCCAAAAGTCCAGGACGCAACACACCACGGCCGGAACCACCAAGAACCCACTCAGAACCATTGCGTTAGCAAAGCACACCGGGCCGTTGCCAACACCGCCAACAGCGAAAAGGGCAGAAGACGGAGGTAGAGGAGGAGGAGGAGTAGGAGGATGAGGCAAGGAGGCAGTCGGAAGGCCTGACATAAAACATCATAAAAAACCTAGAGGCCCGCATCTGACAGGTGGTGAAAAAGGCAGGGCCCTTGATTGAATTAACAGTAACACACGTGCAAAGGCTTGTGGGGGTTCTGATTCAGATATTTTTGGCATTCTTTTTGCACCTAGCAACAAAGGGCATCGCTACTAGAAGCAAGGACGCTACTAGTAGCTCCTGGCCATACTACTAGGACCAGGAACAAGAAGCTACTAGCAACAAAGAGCATTACTACTAGTAGCATTCTCACTAGAATGCAGCTTCAGCCTTCAGATGTGAAGCTTGAAACGGGAAGTCCGCACAGGACGGCGCTCTAATCAAGGAGTTCGAGGCTTGACCGGTTGAGTCTCCAAGTTATAAGACATATATAAGTTATATATAAGTGTTGGCTTTCGTGTATTTTGCACGTTTTTTTGTGTTAGATGTTGTTTGTTTATTAACACCACTGCTGTTATACCATGAGTTGCCGATTGACTCAAGGCTTCCCATGGCACGGTTGCCGACTTGTGGCATGCGCATTTGCGTGCCTGTCCCATGAGAGCTGCGCGTGTTTTGCTCGTTCGTGTTGTTTTTGAAGTCGCTTGAGGTGGAGAAGAAACATCCATGAACCCTTTGGGTATGGTGGGCTCAGAAGTCCTTGTATTTGAACATCCATTTAAATGGTAAAATTTGAGTTTGAACGGTCTCACCTTTCAACGGTGCTTTACTTTTGCACTTCAAGATGCAGGTGGTGGCTTTGCTTGGGTCTATGGATCATGCTGCGGCTTTGGTCCGGGACTCGGGGGTTCTCCAGTGTTGTGCTCACGCACTTCCCTACCTAGGCACAAGATCCAAAAGCCATTGAAGTCACATCACACTTCACCAAATGTTGCCAAGCAGCCCGCTCCCAAGCATTTATGTTCGTTCAAATCTTAAAGGCTTTCTTCAATCTGCCAACCAGAAGTTTCAAGCTGCCTCTTGATGTACTCTTTGTGTTTGTTGGAGGCTGTCTATGAGGCCTTCCGCAGTGGGAAAGGCCATGCCTCTTGAGACATGGACCATGAATATGGATGACTAATGAACCGCCCCCAGGTACGCGAGATATGGCAGGCCCAGAAGGTTCAACGACCGAGCAATTTGTGAATACTGCAGCAGCCTGAAGTTAAAGTTAAAGCCTTCATTGAACATTGAGCTCATCGAACCTGCTGAAGCTTGAGGTAGCTGAAGATTTGCTCAGGCAGGGGTTGGTAGGGCTCATTGAGATTTTCTATTTTCGCACGTCTTGGTGCCCAAAAGGCGATTAGAATCTCCTGATGGGCTTGGGTCCCAGTTGGTCCCGGACATTTGAGAGACGGATCCTCCATCTGGAGGCCATCGCTATTAGAGGAAGTAGCTTCTTGTTCCTAGTAAAGGCCAGGAGCCCCTAGTAGCGTCCTTGCTCCTAGTAGCGATGCCCTTTGTTCCTAGTAGCTTCTTGTTCCTATTGGATTGGAGTACTCCTGTGCTTGATTCTTGCTTCGTACCTTGAGGACGGTACTTGCAGAAATGGCGGCGGAAGGCTCCGCCATTGCCCAAGATCCAACCCAGTCAACTTTATGCATGCTGCAAGCCCATGCTGGCCTGGTAAGTCGGCCTTTTAACACCCCAGCTCTGGCGGTGCAAACGTCGCATTTCATTTGTGTTTGGCTGCGCTTCGTTCATTCTCCGAGGCTCCCAAGGTGAAAGTCTCCCGAAAGTGGGGCGGCCAAGTGAGATCCATTTGAGCGGCGCCAAGAACTAATGCATGTGGATATTCTTGTGGCCGCCGCGAGGTTTCGAAGAAACTACAAGGTGGATGAAGGCAAGATGCAGGCCATGTTTGCCAGCACTCCGCTTAGTATGCCAAATGTTGCTTTTTTGCATGAAGCACATGTTCTTTGGGAGGTCAAGGGCCACTCAACTTCACACCCTGAGGATTCGACACTGATGGCAATGGGAAGATTGATTTTGAGGCCTTGACGACTGCGGTCACCAGTCCAAAGTAGTTTCAATCCACAGGTTGTACCAACCTAGAAGCGATGGCCTCCAACCTCATAGCGATGGCCTCTAACCTAATAGTGA